TGTGGGAAATTTTGGAAATATACGTAGATTATCGCAGCAATATTCCGGCTGAAATGTGCCAGGGCATATTGAAGGTTATTCATAGAATAGATATAATTATCCCATGGCATAATCGGCCCGTGTCGAGGTCGCGTATAGCGTGCGGGGACTTAGGCGCGTTTTGAGCTGTGTGCTCGAGCGCTCGCACTAGGGCACTGGCACGCAGCTGCCGCCGCTCACGCATACAACGGCGTCGCAATTGAAGCAATCCATACCTTTATCCTATATCTCGTTCGTCATGCCACGCCCATCGAAATCCGGCCCTTCCAACCCATCCAGCAGCAAGACATCCAGATCAACCCCACGCTTCAAATGTATCTGTGCGCGGTGCTCGCTCACGTCAGCGGGCTACGTTCTGCAAACGGCGCAGGAGATCAGAAGACACAATGATAGATATGGCCGTAAGAAGACTCAACGACGCACCACGACGAATGCTACTCTAGCGACCCAGGCAGCAACCAGCACTGCTGGTCCTTCTCGGCAGACTCAGGGCTCGGAAACTCAAGCACCTCAGGCTCAGGCGACTCACTCACGTCGACTGCTCGATCTCTTAGACGTAAACCTGGACTTTGTGCTAGAACCACCTCGTGGATTTGACGAGGACGAGGACGAGGAGTTCGAACTGCGTCCACCCACTCCCCGGCCTCAGTCGCCCCTCAGGCTGCCGACTCCACCTCTGGAACAACGCTGGCACCGCGTCGACCTTGGTGTATGCGTACCTGGAGAAACAGCGATTAATCTAGACGACGATGACGATGAACCAGATGAAGAGCCAACCCTGTTACCTCGGGCATTCAAAGAACGCCCAGAAGTTCGAAATGCGTACCTCAGAGCTGTGCTTGCCAACGTCTTCAGTAAGGTCTCGGTCGCGGATGCATCAGATCTGTTGTCGGCAATGCTCGACAACGCGTCTATCATTCGACCTCTACCGGATCACCCGCGCCCTGTTCGAACCCTCAAGAGTGCCAAGCAGCGTCTCGGCATTGACCCCGACCAATACATCATCAAATATGCGGTATGCCCCGACTGCTGGAAGCATTACCACCCGACCGATCTCCAGACTCTGATGTCTCCTGTTTGCTCTGTCGACGGCTGCTCGGGTGTTATATACGAGGACTTTATCAATGCTCGATGTAAACACATTCGCAAACCGTTCAAGCTTCACCCTCAAGTGTCGATCATTGCGTCATTGCGACGCATGTTCATGCGTCCTGGGTTTGCTCGCATGATACGAGACAGCAGAGCTGATGTACCTGACAGAGACGTCGATGAGCACTTCGTCATGCGAGACATGCACGACGGCTCGCTTTGGCATGAACTCAACACGCATACAGTCCGGGAAGTTGGTGAACACGGCCATGTTCGCGATCGCCCCGAAGATGACCACGACACGGCTCCAAAGCTAACGTCGCACCGATACGGGCTTCATCTCACCTGCAATATTGATTGGTACGGCTCAGACATGCGCGGTCATTGCTAATTTTATTTTATTTTAGGATGGGTGTCCTCGAAAACCGGCCGCATTCGACGGGAGCTATGTACATTGCCATCAACAACCTTCCCCGCGAGCACCGATTCCTTCAATCCAACGTCATATGCGCCAGTGTCATGCCAGGCCCCAAAGAGCCTGATGTCCGGCAAATCAGTCACTGCATGGAGCCGTGCACGAAGGAGATCTCAATCCTTCGTAACGGTATCACTCTGTGTCTCATGTCTAATGGTAATCACTGATCTCCATCCACTCGCATTGTCAGGTGTCAAAATGGCTGTCTACAGCGAGGATCAGCTCGCCGATGTCCACGCCGACTTGGCGTGCCTTGACTGTGATATGCCCGCATCTCACAAGACCAATGGCACGGCTTCTCATTCACATGACATGCACCCGTGCGTGTCATGCGATGCCAATGTCACGGATTTCAACAAGCCGTCAGGATACGACAGCTGTGAGTATCTTGTGATTTGGTTACAGTTGTCCAAGAATTAACCTCAACGGCGCTGCAGCTACTCGCCCCAAGGAGGACTATAAGCT